GCAGACCCATGGCATTAAACTGGCTCTGGACTTGGCAAAGGCTGGTCCCCATGTGGGACAGAAACTGGGCTTTCACTCAGAATAATAGCGAGCCCAGTGTTTTGGGTGAGTAACCATCTTCTGTGATAGTACACAGGGTGCATGACACATTTTTTTCAAGAACTGTCTATGTAAATAACGAGATTTATGTGCAAAACTGTGACTTTGCTAGAGTGTCCCCACTAGGGTGGGACTGCTTACTTATGTGGACATTGCCACGATAGTGATTGTGTATATACACATGTATACAAAATGTTTATGGGTCCTTTGGGGATGAGATTAACATTCACACTAGGGAGTCTTCCTGTGGTTATGCTCCACAGATCTGACTGTGACATACCCAAAGCTGTCATGAGGCAGGTTGCACTCGGGTTGAAGATTGGGGTGAAATACCTACTTCTGCATTGCTGTGGGCCAAGAGCAAGGAAAGTTGTATTGCATTTTTTGAACAGTAGAAAACATTTTTCTGCAGAGCCACAGAGCATTGCGAATTCAGGTCATTGGTTTCCCCAAATGCAAGGACCTGGGTTGATCCCTAGGCTCTTTGGAAACAGACTCAGAGAGGTGAAATAACTTGCCCAAGTTCCTACGAGAAGTAAAGTGGGGTGCTCCCAGGCTGAGAGCTCCCTGTCCAGGCTCTGTCCTCTGCAGGCAGTTGCCTCTCATTGACAGAAAGAGGCCTTGATGTATGTGACTCATCTAGGTTCTGTGAGTGACACATGCACAGCCCACCCACCGTTGCACTGAAGTCTGGTCCTTTGGTGATGCTCCGCTTAATTATTTCCTGAGCCTTCACCCATGTGACACCTCTCCTCTCCTGTCCTGACTCTTCAGAATGGAGTCAGTGCTTCTAGACACCCCCTTCCCCTATCCATTGCGACTGCTGCTATATGATCCTGACCTAAGAGGTCAAATCTCTGTAGACTGACTTGAACTGCAGGCAGGCAGGGTTTTCCCTACATATTGTGAATCTTCCACAAGATGGCAAAGGTTTTACTGGCCATTCACAATGTACAAATCAGGTCCTGTCTTGTGAATTCAGTATTATCTCACAGTGTTGCTTAATTCAGTTGTTGTTTATCTTTTTTAAAGCTTTCATTTATTTACATCTTGTCTCCCTCATCAGATAGGACAAAGGGGTTGTGCCTTGTGACACTGTATCTGCAGAGGGTCAGCCTCAAGGTGCTTGGATAGTGACGAGCTTGTGTTGTGTCCTTCCTGCAGCACAGCTTTTCCACCCACCCTCCTTCCTCAGTCTTAGCTGGTTCCCTTTGGCTCAGAGGCTGACCCGGGGTGACCTCACCCACACTGTTAGGGCTGGAAGGAACTGTTAATCCAGCTTCTTAGTATTGTGAAGGAGGAAGTTGAAATTCAGAGAGGAGAAGTGAACTGCCTGTGGTCTTACAATTAGCTGCCGTGTTAGCACTGAGCTGAGGTCTCTCCCTCCTGTGCAATGCTATTTATTTTAGGACGGTGGCTCTCAGAGAGTCTTCTCACATGAAACTGGTGTTCAGGCAGATGGACTGAGACCCTCTCCTGCCAAATCAAATACTGGAGATCTTCCTTCAATTCACAGAAAAAAATAAATGGATTATTTTTCCTCAGCTTAAAAAATTATTTCCATTAATTCTTTTTGAATCATTGTGACCTGCTACCAATTGTCTACTAGCCAATGTAGGCAGACAACAAATCAAAGGGTAAGCCACAAATAAATATAAGCAAGGACAACCAAAGTCTTGGAAACCATCATTTTTAGTTATAGGGCTTTAAAAAAAAAGACTGCTATAACCATGGGTTTCTATTGCATTCATATAATAAATCGAGCATTCCTACTGGAGACATTGTTTTCAAATCAAGTGCTAGAAGTAAATATGCCATTATTTCGTGGTTTCCCCCAAAGGGCACTATGATCCCAGCGACTCTGTACTCTGGAACATTCTGCAGCTCCCCTAATGTGATTTTGGGTCATTTCTAGTGAGCGATTCTTCCCTTTTGGAGAGAGCCCCAGGGAACTGACCCGACTTAAAAAAAAATTACTAATAATGGCTTGGGGTTGTCCTGAATCCTAAACCTTGTACTTCTATCCTAAAGGCCTTTTCACCGAGAGTAGGGCAGCCTCCGGGGTGAACTTGCGTTGCGGGTTTCCCCGGCTACGCGGGCGCCCCCTGCCGCCCGCGCCGCGCACTTGCACAGGCCGCGCGAGGAGCAGGGTACCAGGGGCTGCGGCCCGAGCCGCCC